CAAAGGATTCAGCCGGCCCCTCCCACCCCCCTGCCTGGCCCTCTCAGGCCTGGAGTGCCTCTCAGCATGCTCCAGCCGAACCCTCACAGGCCCTCACTGACTCCACATGGCTCAGATGGCCTCGCGCCCCCTGCCCAGGGCCGCTCTCCTTCGGGCTCAGCTGTCCAGGTGGGCATCTCGGATGCATTTGGGACACCTGATGGTTCTGGGTACCTGGGAAGGACGGGAGGCCCTTCCCCTGTGTCAGAACCAACAAAGCTTTCCCGGTCCACACTAGTGGTCTGGAGGTCAGATCTGGCCAGTGGGCACGGTCTGGGCTACAGAACATTCTGGATTAGTGGCCCGCAGAGGACTCGGGAGGAAGGATGCTCCAGGAAATTCAGTCTCACCACAGCGGCGCAGGCAGTGCAGGGGTGTGGCTGCTTCCGCGGGAACCGCGGGCTGCGACCACCCCAAGGGCCTCACTCATGTTATTGCAAATCCACTGGCGCTCACTCGTGAGAAATTTTCACATCACCTTGGGCATTTAGATGTAAGAGACAGATATGCAATTCAATACTTAATGATCAAACAAATAATAATAATAATAAAGGGGTTGGAGTAATAGCACAGCGGGTCGGGCCTTTGCCTTGCACGCAGCCAACCCAGATTCGATTCCCAGCATCCCATATGGTCCCCCGAGCACTGCCGGAGTAACTTCTGAGTTTCTGAGTCCATGAACCAGGAGTAACCCCTGTGCATTGCTGGGTGTGGCCCAAAAAGCAAAAAAAAAAAAAAGCTAGAACAAAAAGTCTAGGGTGGTGGGAGGTGCCACCCAGAGGCACTCAGGGCTTATTTCTGGCAGGGCTTGGGGACCCTTGTTGGTGTCAGGGATTGATCCCAAGTCTGTGGCAAGCAAGGCAAGCACCTTACCCACTGGACTGTTGCTTGGGCCCAAAAGACTCCCAAATTAAAAAAAAATGTCACACAACTCCACACGGGGCTGAAACCCACACCTTACCAAGCTAGGATGGGAAACACTCCGTCCCGACAAAGCCAGGATGGGAAATACTCCGCCCTGAGTTTCACGGTCCAGCTCCACGAGTGACCCTCATCAAGCTGCCAAGGCACCCCATCGTTCCCGCTCCACAGCTCCTGGAGTGCGTGCGTGACACCTCCAATTTCCCAGGCCTGTCAGCCCCGCAGGATCACAGCCAATCTAACGGGAAAGGGGCACCGAAGCCTGCGAGGCTTAATGAGAGAAAACGCCAACACGGAGGGTTCAGCCAGCACCAACCAGCCCGGAAAGCCTCAGCGACGTTAGCCGCTCCGTTGTCAGCGAGAACGGCGGCCGCAAATTGTCTTTTATTGATCTATTTTCTGATGATTCCATTTGCCTCTGTGTTGTAACAAATGATATAAAGTACACTGATCGGGTCTGCTAAGGGGGCAGGCTGGGGTGGTGGTGGGGACCCGGAAGGGGGGGAGGGAACCCGGGTGCTGGGACTGGCAGAGGAATGCTGAATGTCTGAAATAACTACATGATAAACAACTCAGTAAATCACTGTGTTACAATAAAAACAACAACAACAACAACAACAAAGTAAGAATAAGAGAAAATCCTTGGGGCTAGAGCAATAGCACGGCAGGTAGGGCGTTTGCCTTGCACGCGGCCAACCCGGGTTCGATTCCCAGCATCCCATATGGTCCCCTGAGCACCACCTGGAGTCATTCTGAGTGCAGAGCCAGGAGTAACCCCTGTGCATCGCTGGGTGTGACCCAAAAAAAAAAAAAGAGAGAGAAAATCATCATTTTAATTGGCACCAGGAGCCAGGAACCAAACCTGGGAAGTACTGGGAGCAGTACTTCAGGGTCTGAGCTCCGTCTCTCACACGCACACACTCTATCAGTTGCTCCCATGCTGGCGCATAGGTTGGGAAATACTGTCACCAGGATCCTCACTCGGGGCCATGAGGACTGAACTTTGGGCTGCCCAGGGCTCATCACCGCTGGTCCATCCATGCTCCCTCACTGGCCGCTTCAATCAATCAACTGCTCCATTCACTTGGGAACAAAGACTCGATTCTAAGGCCTGGGGAGCGGGGAGCGAGCAGGGCCACCGCCATAGCCATGGGGAAGCTCAGTGCTGTGGCCAGGAAGGGCACAGACTGGAAGGGACAGTCCAGGGGTGAGAGGAGCGGAGTCTCACGAGGCCACTGCCCCTTGGGGCTCTGCAGTATGGAATGCCTGCCCGGAGGGTCGGACTGCAGAGCAAACATCTCACGCCCCCTTCTTGTCACAGGGGAGGAAAAGGAGGACTCCAAGAGAACACGGCTCCATGCAATGCCCCCTGCCCTGCCCCTCAACACACACCCCACCCTGGACGCACCCCAGGCCCAGCCACTGCTCCTTCTTCTCAGAGCAAGAGCCACCTGGCGGCATCTTGTGTGGGAACCACAGGCTCTATGCCTGCAGTGGGGTTTCAGCGTCGCACAACGGGGCATGGTGGGGAGCGGGGCAAACGGGAGGAGGCACACGTCGAAGACAAGCCTTAGTTCAAAATGAAACAGAAGCAACGGGGCTGGGGAGGCCAGGCTCTCGTCCCGCACCCCCACCCCCACCCCTGGTTCAGATCTCTGGCCACCATCCGTGGCCCCCTGAACACCACCAGGGGCCCCTCCTGAGCAGAGAGCAAGAAAAAGCCCCTGCAGGTTTTGTGGGGTGTGGCCCAACCCCTCCATCCCGCAAACGAACCCAAAGCTGGAAGTGACGCCAGGACCGTCCTCTGTCCTCTGCGCTCCCTGCCCTCTCTGGATTGTTTTCCTTGGGTTTCAGGCATCTTTTGCTTTTTTTTTTTTCTTTTTGGGTCACACCCAGCAGGGCTAGAGGGATAGCACAGCGGTAGGGCGTTTGCCTTGCACGCGGCCCGGCCCAGCCGAGCCCGGGTTTGATTCCTCCGCCCCCCTCGGAGAGCCCGGCAAGCTACCAAGAGTATCTCGCCCACACAGCAGAGCCTGGCAAGCTCCCTGTGGCATATTCGATATTCCAAAACAGTAACAAGTCTTACCATGGAGACGTTACTGGGCCCACTTGAGCAGATTGATGAACAACGGGAGGACAGTGCATAGATAGTGGTCACACCCGGCAATGTACAGGGGTTGCTCCTGGCTCTGCACTCAGGAATTAGTCCTGTCAGTGCTCAGGGGGCCATATGGGATGCCAGGGATCGAACCAACAGCAAGGCCAACGCCCTCCTGCTGTGCCATCGCTCCAGCCCCTCAGGCATCTTTTGAACCTGATCAAAGTCACCAAGATATGAAACCTGTCTACATTTCTAATCATGCCTTAATGCAAACGGCACAAAATTAAAAGTCACCTCTTTATAGGCACAAGAACAACAAGAAAATGATTTTGTGGAAATGCCGATTTCCTAAAATGTAAGGATTTCCTTTGCTTCTGTTACAGTATGCTGAACAGGATCCGGTCCACCCTGAGACCCACAGCCCAGGCGCTGGGTAGAGGCTGATCCATGCTACAGGCGGGGTTGCCGGGAGACTTTGTACTCCGCACCTTTCATTTAGTCCATTTTCATCTTAGTGTGGGCTAAGGTCCCGGAGGCAGGGGTGGAGCCCCTTTCTAGTCCTGTAATTTGGTCTTTAAATAGTTTTATTTAGAGAAATAGGGGGCCGTGGGGCTGAGGATGCACATATCTGGGTTAGGTGCAGACAGGTCTTCAGGAGAGAGAGAGTGCGCTGCTGTTCTTTTCTTTCTTTCTTTCTTTCTTTCTTTCTTTCTTTCTTCTTCTTTTTTTTTTAAAAATAAACCTGTTTCCATGAGTTCCTGTTGCTGTTCTGACCTTACAGTTATTTGATTATGACAGGATGTGATGCATTATGTAGGAAAAATTTTAATTTTATTTGGTGGGGAGAGTGTTGGATCACACCTGGCTATGCTCAGGGGGTACTCCTGGCTCAGTGTTCAGGGGTCACTCCAGGCCGTGCTGGGGATCGAACCCCGGCCTTCTGCACACAAAGACTACTCCAGCCCGCTGACAGAGCTCCTCAGCCCCACGCACTGGGGATTTTAAAACATTTCTTCTTTTACAGTGCCCAGGCCTATGCCACCAAGACGGTCTTGTCTCAAACTTCCCACGTGGTGGAGGCAGACCTGAGTCTCCAGCCCTCTGGCTCTGAAACAGCCCGTTTGGCTACTCGTAAAACTCGGGCTCCCTCCGAGCTATACGTTCACTTAACAAGGAGACTGAAACCACACGCGTGAAGCAGATGCTCTGGGCGGCCCTCAGGCATGCTGAGCTCTACGTTTCCCCTTTTCCTCCCGACCCCTCTCCCCAGAGAAGCTCACAGTGCTCCTGTGAGCACCCACAACCCCCTGAGTTGGTCTTGACCTTTTCCTTTGAGTTTCCCCTCTCACGGTCAGTCCCCCAGGTCAGCCTTGGTGACATACAAGCCAAAGTTCTCTCAGTGCTGCGAGGCTCTGGGTCTTTTCCCCACCTTCGGGCCGAGCTGACGGATGTCCACCTGGCCCCCTGGCCAGCACAACGCCAGCACAGTCCAGCACACACGGGCCCAAACCAGGTTGGTGCGGCCGGGCCTGCGGTCAGGGGCCTGGGGGAGGCCGGGTTTGGGCTCTGCGGACCCCCTGTCAGCCTCCCCATGCCTCCTGCACCCCCTTGGCCTCCCTGTGTCCCCTGCACCCCCGTCAGTCTCCCCGTGTCCACTGCGCCTCCTTGGCCTCCCCGTGTCCTCCTGAGGCAGAGAAACATGTGGACTCACCTGGGGGCTGACTGGTGACCGCCATCCCTCAGCACCTGACTGCCCCTTTGGGGGGTTCTAGCCCTTCAATACATCACACAGATAGTGTGGCCAGCAGGGTCAGCCTCTGAGCTCAGAAGCCGCATCCCCTGTCCTGGAGGCGGGGCCCGGCCAGGCGTTTCAGCGGACGCCGGGTCCTGGGCACAGCCATGTCCCTCCCCCAGGGTCTCGAGGCCGCGAGCGCCTTACCATCACATCCCGCAGGGTCAGGAGGGCCCTTTCTCCGTCGGGGCTGCCAGGGGGCTCGGGGCGGCCCTGCGTGCTCAGGAGGTTAAAGTCACACGGCCTGGCACTGGGAGATCCGCTGCCCTAGGGGAACACAGAGAACGGGTGAGGTCCAAGCCACCATTTATTGCATCTCTCAGGGCACAGCCTCAGCTCTGCAAACAGTGCTCAGAGCACCGGCATGGGGAGGCGGTCACAGCATGGGGCTGAGGGAAAATGGTGACTTTCTCAGGCACAAGGGATGCTGTAAGCCGGTGGATGGAAAAGCACAGAAACAAATAATTTTACACCAGGCCACCTGTGTGCAGAGGCCACGTGCTGGCATGTGACCTGCACTAACCCCTCCCTACACCCCCGACGTCTCTGCCGCTGCTGCACATGAGTGGCCGAGCCCTGCTGGGGGCAGGTGCAGGGCTGGGGAGGCTGCTGAAACAGAGGCCAGGGGGCTGGAGGATGGGACAGCGGGGAGGGCGTTTGCCTTGCACGAGGCCGACCCGGGTTTGATCCCCGGCATCCCATATGGTCCCCCGAGCACCGCCAGGAGTGATTCCTGAGTTCAGGACCAGGAGTAACCCCTGTGCATCGCCAGGAGTGCCCTCTCCCCCGCAAAATAAAAAGAACAGAGGCCACTGAGTCAGCAGTGCCGCTGCCCCCACCCTTGGGTGGCACCCTCCAGGGCATGGACTGTGGCAGACCCGTGCATGGCAAACCGCACCCAGGAGCCCAAGGCTGCAACGGGCCCTTCCTGGCTCCTTGTATCAGCAAGTCGTGGCCGCGCGAAGACACAGATGCTTTCCGACTGTCTGTGCGGGAACACGGGGTGGGAAGGCAGCTGGGAAGAACGCCCCCACGGCTCCCCGTCACGGCCACCCTCTCGGGCACTGAGACCCCAACGGGAGGCAGGGCCAGGCCGTAGCCCCAGCACCCAAACGGGCCATCCTCAGGGACACCCGGAAGATTCAGGTTTCACCTGGGCGGTTTTCTACCCAGCTTTCGGAGTAATGATTTCCAGGTCAGTGGGATTAGGGGGATTTTTGCCCCTTTTATATCATTTGGGTTCTTAAATGGCCTCGAGGGGAGGTGAGAGATAGTTTAGTCATAGGAAAGTGTAAAACGAGTTTCCTTCGTAGTGCTACAGAGAGGCTGACACACCTTGTGGGGGGCGGGGGGCTCCCTGGAAGGGCCACTCCCCGTGATACTCAGGCCAACCACGCAGTTCAAAGCTAAAGACTGGGGACACTGGGGTTCCCCAGGCCATGTCAAGCACCCCCAGTGGGTCAGATCTCTTTAAAGCACTGCAAGTTAGGGAGGAAGGAAGGAAGGAAGGAAGGGAGGGAGGGAGGGAGGGAGGGAGGGAGGGAGGAAGAAGGGAGGGAAGGAGGGAGGGAAGAAAGGGAGGAAGGGAGGAAGGAAGAAAGGGAGAGAGGAAGGAGGGAAAGGAGGAAGGGAAGGAGGGAAGGAAGGGACTCTGAACAAAACCCAGCACCTACAGCAGCCCTGCCCTGCTCAGGGTGCTGCTGGGGTGCGGCTGCCACCCTCCTGCCCACCCACCCCCTCCACCTTACTGTCTGCTGCATCTGACCGTGAGCGAGCCCAGTCTCATGTCACCGCGCTTGCTGTTCCCTCTGCCTGAATGCTGTTCCCGCTGCTCCTCCCCCACCAGGTCTCAGTGGCACTGCACACGCCCAAGGAATCCAGGAGGAGAGTCACCCGGGAGCTGCCCGGCTCGGGCCTGCCAGGGCCTTGGGGGAGCAGGGCGCCCCTCCTGGCCGGCCTCTGTGTGGGGCCGGGTGCCAGGGCACGTGGGGGCAGGAGCAGGTGAGGCGTCCTACCTGTGCACAGTTCTCGGAGGCATCCCTGGCCCTGGTGGCCACGTCCCCGCGGGGCTCAGCGTCCTCGGAAGGGTCCAGTGGGGGCTCGATGTGCAGCCGCGAGCCGGCCTCCGTTCGGATCTGCACTGACTTCTGCGAACAGGCCAGCACCAGCGGCCGTCAGCGTGGGGGTCCCGGGGGTCACTCAGGGCCAGCCCGAGCCGCACCTGCTCGTCCCCACAAGGCCCCCGTGTGACAAGGGGCTCGTGGGAAGTCACCCTGTGGGGTCTGTGCCACCAACGTCCGAGAGCAAGAGACGCCAATGTCCTGTGTCCTCTGCCCTCACCCTGGTCCCGCCCTCTCCCCTCCACCCTGACCTTTCACCTCTGACCCTTACCCTCTTTCCTGCCAGACTGTTGATGGGATTTGGGGGGGGCTGAGGGCGGCCAGTGGGAAGCTGAGGCAGCCCAGGCCAAAAGCCAGAACCTCCCCGAGTACCCCTCCGGGAGGTGGGGAGTGGGGGGGCCTCATGCCCAGCCCTCACCAGGGGCGGGGATTCAGCACCCCCAAACTCGAGGGGTCCCTGTCATCCTGGGGCTTGCTCAGAAGCCCCTCAGCCAGCCCCGCTCCAGTCCCACTACTTTCACAGGCCCCCACGCCACTGACAGCACAGGGACGTTTGCTCCCCTCATCCTGGAAGCGAGCTCTGGGAAAACTGAGGCAGCAGGCGATGTGTGTGGCTCTGGGCCTGTTTGGGGCAGGGATGACTCCTGAGCAAGGCAGCGCTTAGCGATGCTGCCACCCACAGTCACCAGAGCAGCCAGTGGGCATCACCGTGGCCCCAGCAGGCCGGCTGGGGCTCCCAGGGGCCCATACCCGCCCTCTGCTCCGACCTATGGCAGTGAGGCAGGAGCGCGCCCGGGCTGGGCCCACAGTGGCCTTCGAGAGAACCAGGAAATAAAAGAATTGTTGAAAATCGCTCTCCGAAGGAGAGGGACAAGTGTAGAAGGACCACAATCATTTGCAGGATATAAGATATAGACCGAGGATGAGACTAATATCCACGGCGAGGGCACAGAGGGGCCGGCAGGGCTGGGCAGTGGTTGGAAGCTGCCCCGGGAGAGTGTGGGAGGCGTGGGCAGTTAGGAGAGAGAAGGGGCCAGCAGGACAGTAAGAGTCGGAAACGAGCATTTTGGACAGGAACTGGGAGTTGAAAGTAGGATACACGCGATAGTCTTTCATCTCTATATTGCAAAGCATAAGGGCCAAAAGGGGAGACGGAGAGGGAGAGAGAGAGAGAGAGAGAGAGAGAGAGAGAGAGTGCCTGCCACAGAGGCAGACTGGGGAAGGGGGTGAGAAACTAGGACCATTGGTGGTGGGAAATGTCACTGGTGAGGGGACGGGTATTGGGACATTATATTACTGAAACCCAATCATGAACAACTTTTTTTTTTTTTTTTTTCCCCTTTATTTTATTTTATTTTTTTTAAAGTTGTAGATTTACAATTTTTTGTGCTTTGGTTTCAATTATACAATGATCAGATACCCATCCCTCCACCAGTGCCCATTTTCCACCACCATGGATAATATCCCTCCCACCCCCATCCCCCATCCCCCCTGTCTCTGTGGCAGGGCAATCCCCTGTGTTCTCTCTCTCCTTTTGGGTGTTGTGGTCTGCAAAAATGAACAACTTTGTAAATGTGTTTATCACTGTGATTCAATTAAAAATATTAAAAAAAGAAAATCTCTCTCTCACACACACATACACACACACACACACAGAGGTTGGGCCAGCGATGATTCTAGAAAAGACCCTGGAGACTGGAGAGGGAGCTTGGCAGCTGTTGGGGTGAGGGCAGAGGCCAGGGCCGGGGCAGAGGTAGTGGGATCCTCACAATGCCCTCACCCCAGCAGGCAGTGCTGTTTCGGGACCCCCCAGGTCTGCTCCACCTTCCTCCATCCCGGCCTCGGTGCTCTGCCGGTCCCCTGGGGGCGTCTGCCCGTGCCAGGGGGAAGATGGAAAGGCAGGAAGCTGGGGGCTCCTGAGGCAGGAGTCAGGACGACCCTCGGACCCGGGCACCTGAGCCTGCACGCCCACCCGCCCCAGTGAGGCCCCCACTGAGGCAGGAGTGTGAGGCCTGGTGGGGCTGGGGGGCTCCTGCCTAGGGGGAAACCGCTGGTTGCAGCCTCGGGGGAAACCGTCCCCCCATCCCCCGTCCACCCTGATGGAAAACCTCAAGGGCACTGGGGCATGGAGCAGACCAGGGCCCAGGCCCGGCCAGGCCTCGGGGAGGCGGGTGCAGGCGGGGGGTGGGGGTGGGGATCAGGGGAAGCCAGCAGAAGCCCACGGGGCCAGAGAGACGGAGCAGCGGGCAGGGCCTGCCTGGCACGGGTCCGGCCTGGTTCTATCCCCCACACAGAGCACAGTTGGTGCGGCCCCAAACAGACCAGCCAGCGGGCGGCCACAGCGCTGACCCGACTGCAACTGGAGATCCCCTGAAAGCAAGGAGAAGTGCCCGGGGAGGGAGGGGTGGTGTGCGGCCCCTCCTCCGGCTCTGCGCCCCCTCGGCCCTTCCCAGGAGCTTCCTGCCAAGACAGGAGGGCCAGGGCCTGGGGGCAGGCGCAAAGGTGCTTGCTAGGTAGGTGGCTCGGGGGAGCTGCTGCCATGGAGAACTGGGAGCAGGTCAGGCGAGACGAGACCTGTGGGCCCGGGAGGTGCTGGAAGGCTGCCGTGCCTGCCCGCCGGCCCCAAATGCGGGACTCACCGTCTATGCCAAGGCAGCCTGGGGGCTCTGCTGCCGGTGGCCAGTCTGGAGCTTTGCATGTCACCACACCAAGATGTGTGAGCACTGCAGCCGGAGCACAGCCCATGGAGGGCACGCGAGCACCAGCCACGGAAGAGCCCAGATGGATGGCACGTGCACGAGCAGGCAGCGGGCGACCCCCACAAAGGGGGCAGTGGGGCTGACTGAGGCAGGAAGTGGCGCTGGGCCCCTGGGGCACGGGCGGGAAGAAGGGCCCGTGTGGGACCACAGCTGGGTGTGGGGAGGGGAGTCGACGGACCCTCCATCAGCCTGGGGGGGCCTCTGGGTGCTGCCTCCCACCCGGAGGATGCCCACCGCCGCCAAGTGCCACAGGCTGGCTGCCACCCAGCCCTCGCTCTGGGGTCTTGGCAGCTGTTCCCTGGGCATCCACAGCTCTGACCCCCACCCCTCCATGTTCCCACCCCCAGCCCAAGGCCAGCTGGTCATGCTTGGGGTGTGTCTCCCAGCTCCTGCCACTGTTCTCTGCTACTGTGTGTGTGTGTGTGTGTGTGTGTGTGTGGAGGGAGGGGGGAGTGCTGTCGGGGTTGTGCAGGCGGCGTGGTGGGGACACGGCGCCCTCTAGAGGCGGGAGCGCTGGTAGCACGCAGGCAGGGCAGAAGGCCAGTGGGAAGGTCACTGGGGACCACAGAGGAAGGCCCAGGCTTTCCTGGGGTTCCATTCACTGTCCTCACTGCAGGGAGCCGCAAAGCTGGGCAGGAGGAAAACAAAGGACACACACACACAGACACATACACAGATATACACAGACAGACACAGACACAGACATACACACAGACACTGAAGACACACACACACAGGCATACACACAGACATACACACAGACATACACACAGACACGCACAGACACACAGGCATACACAAAGACACACACAGACACACACAGACATACACCAGACATACATACAGACACACACACACATAGACACACACAGACATACAGCAGATATACACACAAACACACACACATAGACACACACATACAGACAGACACACAGGCACAGACACAAACACACAGATACACACAGACATTCAGACACAGAGACACAGACACAGACACACAGGCACAGACACAAACACACAGACACACAGAGACACACAGATAGACACACAGACACATACACACAGACACATACACACAGACACAGGCACACACACAGAAACACAGACACACAGACACACAGAGACACACACACATAGACACACACACAGACACACACTTTGTGTTTCCCAGAGGTGCTTAACGGGGCACGCTCGGGACGGATAACCGCGCCAAACTCGCCCGGGCCCCTGAGGCGGGCCCACCCGCAGGAAACTGCTGAAGGCCGATCCCTTCACTACCGATTTAAGGCTCCGCGCTGAAGACGCTCATCGGGGCTGACAGCGTTTGGCAAGCGACGGCTCTGTTGATTAGGCTGCTGTCCACCCAAGTATTACAAGGCTGAGGAAGCCATAAATCTTCATCGGCCGACCGGCCACGGCGAGATCTAAGGCTGCGGATGGCGGGGGAGAAAGGACAGCGCGGCCGGGGCCCATTTATCACCCGCCGCTGTCCCCGGGAAGCGGGCGCTCCCGCCCAGCAGGCCTGGCCACCGCCCCTCACATGCCATAGGCCGGGTGCCCGTGAAGGGCCGGCAGCAGCCGCCCGCCGCCCAGCTGGTACTCGGACCCCACCGAGGCCTTCGGGCCTTGGTCCTTGGCTCCTGTGGCTGCAGCAGCCGGGTCAGCGGGGCCGGCTCAGCACAGGGAGGACATGCCGTCCACTCCCCTGCGGGGCCGCTGAGACAGTCCAACCAGGGGCCACGGGGAGACCAGGCAGGGCTCCTCACCCAATGCCTGGTGGCCAGCTGACCCTCGCCTGAGCTGGTGGCGTGGCCAACTGGCTGCCTGTGGCCTTCGCGGCCTGGCTGCCCACCTCACTGTGCCTGTCCAGGCCACCGCTGTCGGGAGAGAGACCGTCTCCCCTGGCCCTCCTAAGGTGCCTCCTTAGAGCCCACAGACCCAGGCCCTGCCCCGCGCGGGGAGGCGACTCGGGGACTTGGGGCTTCTCTCCCCGGACAGTGGGTGGCGTTCCAGGGGACGGGCCATGAGCCCAGGGCCAGCTCGAGGGCATCCCAGACCCCTGCCCAGCAACACAGGCCAGCGGGGAGAACTGGTGGCATGGAGGCGAGGGTCAGGGGAGGTGCCAGGTGCTACCACCCTCTCGGGCCCTCCTAAGGTGCCTCCTTAGAGCAGCGTGGCCAGCTCTCCCTGAAGGCCCCCCGGGAAATTCTCCTCCTTTGAAACAAAGCCACAGGGGCGGGGGGGAGGGGACGAGAGACCGGTGGCCCCCTGCAGGACCTGCACACGGGAGGCCAAACTGATCCCCGGCACTGTCCCGAGCACTGGGCCAGGAGCAATCCCTGAGCACTGCCCATGGTGGCCCCTAGACCCCAAACAGCAAAATCAGTACAAAGTAGTAAGGCACGAAACTCAAACTCTTTCTCAGGGAGTGCTGGGACTCTCGGCAGCCTCTTCTCCACGCACCCTCCTCCCCACTGGGCCCCTCCCCTCTGACCTATGACCCCTGACCCAACGGCCTTTTGTCAGCCACGTCCCTATATGCTGCCCTGGCTGTGCCCACACCCCCCAAGACCGGCTCCCTGGAAGAAGCTTCCCCGCCCTCCCGGCTTCAGAACCTCAGAACCTCGCGGTGCTCACAGCTGAATGACGGACAGCAGGAGGCGCCGACAAGATGAGGGGCACCCGCAGCTGTGCCACCACTTGTCCCGTCTGCGTCCCGCGTCTCTTCGATACTGGAAGAGCCCTCTCAGGAGGCCCCTGTGTGTGTGTGGGGGGGGTCCCACCCGACCTCCCTCTCCAGAGGAAGCAGTGGGTATCCGCAGGCCAGATGACTCCACCAGGCCTGGGGGAACCGAGGACGGAGCAGGGGCCTGGGCAGGGTCTCAGCCTTTCCCTGACCACCAAGGCCCTCCCCGCAGACAGCCACAGTGGTGACGTCCGTCCGGCTGCGCTGACCAGGAGGATCCATCCAGAGCACACGGCCTGTGGCGGCTGGCCTGCCTCGAGGCCCTTCCGCTCTCGGGGCCACAGTCCCAACAGCCCAGCGGGAACACAAGGGTGGCCACGGCCCTACAGCCCAGCACGGCACGGGCACCACCCCAACTGTGCCCACCCGCCCTGGCCCCGGGCACCAAAGGGCGGGGCGCTGCCTGCAGGAAAGGGGGTGGGGGGCTGGGGCTCCAAGGAGGCCGGAATTAGACATATTTTAAACGCATGTTATCACTGGTGGGGGGGGGGTCATGTGTCCTCCCTGCAGGGTGGACGGGGGTGCAAGGGACACCCCGCCCTCCTCAGGTGGCCTGAAAGCCAGCCCCCGCTGCCACACCCCCACCGGCAGGCATCGGGTGTGTGGCTCAGGTGCAGCCGCCCAAGGGTCTCATGAGGGGCAGGGGGTGCATGGGGTGGAGTCGGGGTCGGTGAGGTGGACTATGCGTACTGAGCACAGGGTGAGGCGGGCACCAGCCGCAGGGCCCCTCTTGCACAGGCTGTGGGCAGAGTCCCTGCCCAGGAGCACTGTGAAGCCCATAGCTTTGCCAGCCGTTTCCTGATTCCTGCAATTTCAGCTAAGGGGTGGGGGTAGGATTCTGGCACTTGGGATCCCCGAGTCCTGGGCCAGCTCTGGGGCTGGGTCCCCCTCAAAGGCACAGCTGAGAGGCTGGAGTAATAGCACAGCGGGTAGGATGTTTGCCTTGCACACAGCTGACACAGGTTCGATTCCCAGCATCCCGTATGGTCCCCCGAGCACCGCCAGGAGTGATTCCTGAGTGCATGAGCCAGGAGGAACCCCTGTGCATCGCCGGGTGTGACCCTCCCCCTGCCCCGAAAAAAAAAAAAAAGAAAAATTTAATAGGCACAGCTGCAGACCCTGGATTTAGGAGCACCCCAGGGGTGCCTGGCTCCTGCCTTCCACTAGTCTTGGTCCTGGGAAGGGGCCTGATTAAGCCTGCAGGGGGCTTCCGGAGGGCGGATGATCGATCCAGGGTTGGGGAGACAGTGAGGGGGTACTGAGTCTTTTAAGCTGCTGACCCTGGGGACAGCCATGAAGCCACAGTGAAGATACATCTGCGAATTGACGCCAGAAGGGCCCAGGCCCGCCCCAGCCCTGGGCATGACTCTGAGCAGCTTCCCCAGCGCCCCGAGGGCCCCCACACCTGAGCAGGGCAGTGACTAGGGCGGGGAGGTGTCCAAGGTTCAGTGCCCCAGGTGAGGCCGCAGGGAAGGTGGATGCCCAGACCAGAGGCCATGGTGCTGGGTGCCGAGTGAGGCCCGAGCTGCAGCCTGGCTTCACCTCTACCCCCACCCCACCCCCAACCATGGCTGTCCCAGAAGCTTCCGGAACTCTCTGGGTCCACGGGTGCCCTGGGCAGGAGGGGCCCTGCAGCTCTGCTGGGAGGTGAGGGCACTGGCAAGGTGCGTAGGGGCTGAGCGTGGGCCTGCCAAGAGGGGGGAGGGCAGGGGAGGGGGGTCCCACCAAGCGCAGGCTGCTGCCGCCCACCCTAACCCCGGCCCAGTGGGGAGGCGGTTCCGTCCTGTTCAGGCTCTGGAAGGCCAGGCCTGGGAGCCCCATCAAAATCACGGATCTGGGGGCCCGAGGGAGTACAGCGGGGAGGGCACTTGCCCTGCACGTGGCAGGCCCAGGGTCGATCTCCAGCATCCCTGATGGTCCCTGAGCTCACCAGGAGTGACCTCTGAGTGTAAGGCCACGAGTAGCCTGAGTGCCACTAGGTGAAGCCCCCCTGCCACACACACACACACACACACACACACACACACACACACACACACCCCTCCCTCCAGAACGCTGACAGCACAGTATGACAGAGCGCAGTGGGAGTCGAGGGGTCTCATCTCTGATGCCCCATCCCACGGAGGGGCAGGCCAAGGTCAGGGCGCTGCAGCCCCCAGCCACACCTAGCCCCTGCCGAGGGGCCTCTGCACCCCTGGCTCTACCTCTGGAAGAGCCCCCCCCGCCCCATTTAAACACAAGGCAGGGCCGTCTGCTGGACACCGGAGCGGGGAGGGGGGGGTGTCCAGACCTGGTGCCATCCTCGGCGCTGGGCTTTGCTGGGGGCGGCCCAGGAGCTGAGCCGGGAAGCGTCTTCACCTTCTCGGGACAGGTTTCTCCGACCAGGATCTGCGCCAGGGACAGAGGAAGCAGCCTGTGAGGCGGGCGCCGAGCTTGCTGACGGCCATGCCACACACAGCCAGCCCCGGTGCCCGGCACGTGGCTCAGGATCCTGGGAAACGGGCCCAGCCCAGAGCCAGGGACCCAGGTGCTGGCAGTCCGGGTCCCAGAGACTGCCGGACAGCCGGACAGCTGGACTGATGGACAGCAGGACAGCCGGACAGCCAGACAGCTGGACTGACAGCTGCAGCTGAGTCGGGAAGTCTGGGGGTTAGGGGAGCCCGGGGTGGCCCCCAGAGAGAGACTCCTGGAACTGCTCTGAAACCTGGACCGCGAGGGTCTGAGGATCCACAGAGAGGCGGGCGGCCGGGTCCTCCTCTGGGAGGGCCAGGAGTGACCCCCACTGCCCCTCCTGAACCTGGGTGCTAGGAGTAAACCCACTGTCCCTCTGGGCCCTGAAGTCTAAGAGTTATCCCCTTGAGCCCCAGCCCTGGGGGCTGAGAAGCCCTCTCTAAACTCCGGCTGGAGGGCTCGTGTCCCCTTCTTGCTGTGGTTCCAGTGGGCCGTGCATTCCTGGCCTGGGGCCCGACATGCCTGCGATCGCAGTGACCTTGTACAGCAGACACGCCACAGGTCTGACATGGTCCGACATCCCCACAAGTCAGCAGGGGGCAGGATCACCCCCACTGTACAGACAAAAAAGTCGAGGCCCAGGAGGTCCAAGAGGTCTCGGAGGTGGCAGGGGCAGGCGTGGGCTCAGACCCAGCGTGCCCTGGAGTCCCCTAGCCGGCCCCAGGGTCTCAGGACTCGGTGCCACTCCAGCCCACTAGGGTGTTTGGGGGGCTCAGGGCTCCCCATGGGGCTGGGGGTTGAAGGCACCTTGGCCATGCGCCCCTACCCAGGTCACACCTGCAGGTTGCGGGGGCTGGACCCGGGCCGGCTGCCTGCATGGGATGCGCTTCCTGTCGCTCCAGCCTGCTAGTGCTCCCGTTTCTGAAGAGCAAACCTGGGCCCAGAGACACGCGGGCTTCCCCAGAGCCTCCCAGTCACGCGGGGAGCTGGCATCTGGCCTCCGGTCCGGGGACCTCCCTGGGCGTGGTGTCGGCCGCTCTGCCCCTCCTCTACACAGCCGCCTGCGCCCTCCTCACAGGGCCGGGACACCCACCTGGGACCCGGGACACCCACCCGGGACACTGGGGCACAGGGAGCCCGGGCTGGCCGCGGGCAGAGAGGAGCAGAGCGGCCAAAGGGCCAGCAAGGAGGGCCGGGGGAAGACACAGGATGTGACATAGGCACCATCGGCCACACCAGCTGCTCCCTTATGCTCCTGAACCTTCTAGCACCTTCCAGCGCCCAGTGCTGCTGAACCTGGAGGCTGCCCTGCCTTGGCCCAGAGGGAACAGGAAGGTCGTGGCTCTCCTTCTCCGCTCTCTACTTCTCGCCATGAACAAGAGATACGCCCAGCTGGGCCGTGGGGGCTTGTGTGCCCCCCACCCCCACCCTGCCCGCCCAGCCCGCGGGGCGGTGGCTCACCGTGGCCGCCCTCGGCGAGAGAGGCGCTCCTGGAGGGCTCGGAGTACAGGGCCCTGCGCGGTGCGGGCCTCAGCTCGGAGTTGGCCCCGTTGACGTACACGGAGAAGCCTTGCTCCAAGTGCTCCAGCCGCAGCCGCACGGGGTCCTTGGTCTTCAGGTGCTTCAGTATCCTGCAGGGGAAGCGGCGGTCCTCACCCAGGGCGAGATGCCTGCAGGCACCTCTGCACGCCCGTGGGCCCCGTACCCGAGCGCAGGCCTGTGGGCCCGCCACGGCAGTGGTGACTCGGTAGTCACTTGAGGGGCCAGTGGGTACGCGTCCCCGCCGCGTGGCCGTGCAGCCCGGTCCCAGCCAGCGCGGCCCCTTTGGGCTTTAGCTCAGGTGCACAAGCCCGGGTAGTTTTGGCAGGCGGCTGGCTATGGGCTTCCCACAATCGCATGTCCATCTGCAGACCGGCCGGCCCACCTCACGCCGGGCAGACTGTCTTTCCTCGTGGGTCAACGGACGTGGCTGCTGACCCAGCTCTGTCCTCCCGGACGACCTTGCTGAGGACTCGGAGGCCCCCGGGGTCGACACCAGCACAGGCTCCCCCCTGGCCGCCTGCAGCTTCCTCGGAAGCCCGACCCGGCGCCCAGGCAGGCTCCTCTCCGGACTCTGGACACGGCCGGCCCTGAGCAAAACACGCGCACCCCTTCTGCCCTGCAAACTGCTCCCGTTCGTCCCCAAGCCCTCTGCTGTCTTTACAAACAATCTCGGCTCACAACTGACTCCAGACATCTGTCAGGACGTGACACAGATGCTCACGAGGCCACGAGGGATGTTCTCGCCTCCCCGCCCCCCCCTCCCCGCGATCAAGTTAGGTCCCCCCACGTCAGCAAAAGGCAGGTTTCATTTTATTGATGAATTTTAGCTTGGGGGACACACCTGGGGATGCTCAGAGCCCCCCCTGGCTCTGCACTCAGGAATCACTCCCGGCGGGCTTGGGGGACCCTGGGGGATGCCGGGGATTCAGCCTAGGTCAGCCGCGTGCAAGGCAAACGCCCTCCCCACTGCATGATCTCTGGGACCAGCAAAAAAGCATATTTTAAAAAATCAGCCATGACCACAGGGTGGATGGCGGTAGAGCCATGCTCCAAAGGCTCGATGGAATCCCTCCATTCTCTTTCCCCAGAGCTGCCGCAAACACCCAGCCCTGCGGGTGGCTCCCGGGAACCAGGGTCGGACGTAGGCAGGGGTCGAGGGGGGCGGGTCTCTGCTCACGTCCCCGTCCCCGACAACTGCTCCAGACAGAGCCCCGCCTGAGGCCTTGCTGCTCAGGGTCGGCCTGGGGACGACAGGGAGCAGGAAGGGGGTTCAGCAGGCCGAGTGCAGGCTTGACACACAGGCCACAGTTTCTTGCTCGAGCCCCGCAGGGTGCCCTGAGCACCGCCAGGAGTGACCCCCTGAGCACCAAGCAGGGAGTGGCCCCCGAGTGCTGTGTGGTGTGGCCCAAAAGGAAGAGAGGAAGGAAGGAAGGAAGGAAGGAAGGAAGGAAGGGAGGGAGGGAGGGAGGGAGGGAGGGAGGGGAGAGGAGAGAGCAAGAGCAAAAGAGAGCGAGAGAGCGAGAGTGAGAGGAGAGTGAGAGACAGAGTGAGAGAGTGAGAGGGAGAGAGTGTGAGAGAGTGAAAGGGAGAGAGAGAGAGAGAGAGAGAGAGAGAGAGAGAGCAAGAGAGTGAGCGGGCACCAAGGCAGGAGCGACTGCCACACCTGGGGGAAGCTGCCCGCTCACCGGAGTTCTGGGTGGTCCCCCCCAGGGAACCCCCAACCCCACATTCAGGAAGACCAGACAGCCCTTCCGCTCTGCGCCCATACCCATGAGCACGGCGGGGAGGACCCAGCCAGGCTCCAGCACGACCCTGGAGGACACTGGCGTGCAGAGGGCGGGCGGGTGCCGTGGCGGGCGGCCTCACCCACCCAGCTGAGCCCACGCACAGTGGACAACAGAGACGCCCGGGCCTGCAGGAGCCTTTGGCTCCCTGTGAAAGCAGCACGGGGCGAGGTTTGGGGGCGACTGGACGTTCACCAGGGGGGTGGGGGGAAGAGTTGGAGAGCAACCACGGCCTGGGGGGTCGGGGGTCACTTCCACTGGTCTGCTCCCCAAGCAAGGAGAGGGACGCAGGGCGGCGAAGCGACTGGCCCACAGCCACGCGGCGTCAGAGGCCGGCGGGTGAGGCCTGAGGGTCAGGGCCTGGAGCACTCTGTGGAGACCGTCTCTGCAGCCTCTGAGCGAGGAGGGTGGGACAGATGCCGGCCAGTGACCCGGCCAGACTCCTCAGGGCAGGCAACGCCTGGTGCTCGCCCTCTGCCCACATGCCCAGAGCTCAGAGGAAGCCGACCCGGCAGCACCCTGGAGGTCGGAGACCAGGGGGTGGAACTGGGGGCCAGCGGCCTTTAAGATCACGCATGGGCCGGAGTGACAGCACAGCGGGGAGGGTGCTTGCCCTGCACGTGGCCAACCCAGGTTCGATCCCGGGCACCCCACGGGGTCCCATGAGCGCTGCCAGGTGTGATCCCTGAGTGCAGGACCTGGAGTAAGCCCAGAGCACTGTCGGGTCTGGCTCCAGTAAATGAAAAAATAAACAAAAGCATGGTGCGCCAGGGCGGCTAGGGCACTTGCTTTGTAATGTGGCCGAGCCGGGTTTGATCCCGGCGCCCCGTCTGGTTCCCTGAGCCTGCCACCGGGAGTGAGCTCTGCACACAGAGCCAGGGGAAGCCCTGAGCACCGCTGGGTGTGGCCCCCAAACAAACACAAGCAAACAAATACGGGGGACCTCGGGGGACGCTGGCGATGGGCTCTGGGCGGTGGCTGGGCTGAGGCCAGGTCAGAGCAAAGACGGCCCCTGCGGTGCGTGTGGGGTCGGCAGTCGGCAGCCGTCAGTGGCCGGAGCAGGTGACGGATGGGAGAACTGGATGGGTGTCTGGGGAGCGAGGGCGGGGCACGCGAGGTGGGGGGGACAGGGGACGGACGGCTCGGTTGCTTTTAAAGGTTTCCTGAGCCGCCGCTACATCCATCTTCCCAACAACGGTGGCACGGACATTTATTACAGGCTGCTTATCCGGCGCCAGCCATGGGGCAGGGAGGGGGCAGGCAGCCGCAGGAAAACAGAGTCACTAAGAGACCGTTTCCAAACACGGCAGGGGCCGCCCTCCCCAGAGCCAGGCCTCGCGGGACAGCAGCGGGGCCCCGGGAGGTGGGTGGAAACCCTGAGCACCCTGGCAGCGGGCACCGCCTCCCGGCCTCTCTGGGGGTGCGGGTGGAAGAGATGCCCTGCCCCCCAGGGCCGCGAGGGCCCCTCCAACGTTCTGAGGCTGACAAGAAGGGAGCTTCCCGACTGCCCCCCACCCAGAGCGCCGAGGGCGGAGGAGCCCTGGGCGGTGGTGACCTGCCCGCAGGAAGAGGGAGTCAGTCAGTCGGCTTCGCTTGTCCCCTGCCACCTGCTTCTGGTCCCCTCCGGGCCTGGGGGTGGGGGCCGGAACGGAATGGCTAACAGGGGTAAGAGGTTGCCGGGGGTTAGAACGCAGTGTGAAGTTGGGTCACCGAGAGGGGAGAGGGTCTGGTTGCCCTGGGCCCGGTTCAGAGGAGCCGGGGCTGCGGGCGCAGGGCTGCAGTTCAGACAGGACGATCTTGGCCAGCCCGGCGCAGGGCACTGAGGCTGAGTACTGGGGTGGGGGCTCACGGCTCGATCCCCACTGAGCCAGGGACCCAAGGGGTCCCGCCACCAGCCCGTCTCGAGTGCCCCCAAGGTCAGAGAGCCCAGGGAGAGGGCCCAGCGCCCCCCACCATGCTGCTGTCCTGACCCCGCTGAGGCAGCCCTCAATGGCTGGAGCCTCTGCCGACCCCCCCATCCCCCGCTGCCGTCACCTGGGTCACCTGGGCTGCACCCAAAACCCCCGGGGCCCTTCCCACTTCTCCCCAAGGGTGCCCACGGCGAGTCCCAGGGTACGGCTGCAGCTCAGATGTTGGGCGGATGTGGGGGCCCCAGGCATGCTGTCCGCCCCCCATCCCCCTATCAGCACGGCACCTTCTGGAAGTTCCACTCAACTGCCCTTTCCCAAAGCTGACCATGTGGCTGGGTCTGGCCCTGAGGCCACAAGTCGGTCACAGCGGGCCCCAGCTGCCAACAGAACACAACCCTGGGGTGCCCCAGGCGGGGGAAACGAGGAGGCACCACCCTGCACCTCCCCGCCCCCCCGGCTCCTGGGTTCTCCCCACTCTGCTCCTCGGCTGGGCCTCCCTGCTCCCCCAGAGCATGGCCTGACCACCCTCCCCACCTGCCCCCACGAACCCTCCCAGTCCTCCAGCAACCACTCTGCCCCTGTCCCCCTTGTTCCAGGCGATGTGGGGGAGACTGACCCCCCCTCCCAGCTGAGTGGGGCAGCCAAGGGGCAGCAAGTCGGACTGTGCCACTAGCCAGACCAGGAGGTGGCAGGGCCCGCCCAGGGCACTGTGCTGGGCAGAAAGCTAGGCTGTGAGCTCCCCTCACAGCAGGACAGGAGAGTCGGGCTCCCAGGGCTGCCCGGGGGAAATCCAACAGGGACAATGGGCTCGAGGTCCTGGAAAAAGACGGAACTGGGTGACAAGTGTGAGCACCTTGATGCAACCATGCCTGAAGCCAGCCCACATCTGCTCCATCACTTCAGTTTATGAGCCGTACTGTGAGCTTCCTGGGGGCTGTGGGATTCTTTTTTTTTCTTTTTCTTGGGGGGGGTCACACCCAGCGATGCACAGGGGTTACTCCTGGCTCATGCATTCAGGAATTACTCCTGGTGGTGTTCAGGGGATCATATGGGATGCCGGGGATCGAACCTGGGTCGGCCGCGTGCAAGGCAAAGTCCCTCCTCGCTGAACTATCGCTCCAGCCCTGGCTGTGGGCTTCTGTGCTCCCCAAACGGCCCGGTCAGTCCTCCTCAGGGACCATCCCCCCCAGCCCCAGGCAGTGACAGACCCTCTGTGAGAGGCTGCCCCCAAGCATCCCGCCCGGCTGTGTCCGCCCGCCCCCAGCTCAGGCCCAGGGCAGTCCCGGCCAGCTCATTGCAGAGCACGGCCCCTTTGCTCATCTGTTTCCAGGGAACCAACTGCTCACTCCCACAGGACCCCTCCTCTGGCAATGGAGAGGCCTGCCAACCCCTCTCACCCCTCCTGCAGAGGAAGCACAGTTCAGGGAGGCTCCCGGCTTGCAGGAGACCCAGAGCCGGCCACCCTCTCCTCGCCCGCACTCTAGACGGTGGGACCAGGCCTCGGGGGCACACACAGACCCAAACCCGTGGCTGGCGCTTGTGCCCGGCTCTGGGACCTTCCCCGCCCGCAGCTGTCCCCACGCGGACAAGCCGCCTTGTCCTCATGCCAGCTCCCCATCGGTGACCGACCGTCCGCCCAGTTTCACAGGGACGCGGGGCTTCTGGACTGTGTGACCGACTCCGGGTGGCCAGCGTGAGTCTGGATGAGCGTGTGTGGGCGGCTGGCCCCTTCCTGATCATGGGCTTCCCGATCTCCTGGTTAACGGGGAGCGACAGGCCCCGGACAAGTCCCACGCACACAATCCCGTGGTAGCACCCCCCCAGCCCCCCGCCCCTACTGGTTCCTAATGACAGCAAGCAGGACCCTCCATGCTGGCCTGTGCACGAGCCTGGGGTCGCCCCGAGAGGAGGGACAGGGGCTCAGAGCAGCTGGCCCAGGCCTGAGGACACTGCATGGCCGCTGACTGGGGCTGACCCACTTGGGGGCCTGGGGAGGGCATTGCCCATCAGAGTCAGCTGGAAACGAGAGCAGACTACCATCCAGATCATAGTTCATGTGATTCAGTTGTGGTCAGTGGGCAGCGGAGCTTCAACCCAGCAGCACCCAGTGCTACGGAAACTTGCCACATGCCACCAGAGCCCCGGGGACCTGCCCGCCAGACAAGTACTGAATTCCCACCTGCGGGGAGATAGTCCCCGTCTTGGGGACCCCTGTGGCCACGTACGACCCCTCCTGCACATCAACCCGGACTCGTCACCCAGATGGAGAGTCCCGGCTCCCTGACAACACTCGATGGTTTGGATCTGGACCCGAGCAAGAGAACCAGCAGGAGCCCTGAGGGCTGCCTGGCGCCAGCTTTCAGACCCACCTGAGGGTCAGGCCCGGGCTCCCAAAGGCCCCCAAAGGGAACTGGAAGTGACCGGCTGCAGCCCCATGCGCCTCCACTCTGACTTTGGCTGGGGACGGGTGCTGCCCCTACCACCTGCGGGTCACCCTTGAGTGACATGTGGGCCAGGTCACCATAAGGAGGCCCCGGGTTAGGCTCTGGGGGACCGGGGAAGGGACACGGGGCCTGTGAGGTCACTGCCCGGGCTACCAGTGACACGGAGACTGGTAGTCTGCCAAGTTCCAGCCTTTTGTGAAAGACCCACGGACAGACGCAGGAGGCCAGAGGCCGCTGCTCAGGAGACCGGCGTGGGGGGAGGCCCAGAGGGGGGTGGCTGAACCCCACTCCCGCGCGACCAGGACCCAGCGACCAGGACCCGCGCGACCTGGGCCTGCCTCTGCGTTGGGCCGGGAGGGAGAGTGGCCCGGCGTCTGTGTCTTACCGGTTCCGCTGCTGAAGCAGGATCAGATACTCATCATGTTTCTCATCAAAGTCCGTCACCATGTCCTTAGCGTAAGCCTGGGAGGAGACACAGAGCGAGGGGGTAATGTCAAGTGCGGCACGTTCTCACTGCGGGTGCCGTGGCTCCCAGGCAAGGGTGAGCGGCTCCCCGGTCGGGTTACTCAGGCAACCAGCCCCCCTCCCCCGAGAGACAGCGGGCGGCCCCATGGGCCTCAGACGTCCCCACTGCCAAGCACAGAGAAGGAGGTGGGTCCCCGAGGCTCCTGGGGGCAGCTCCCTCTGCCCATCAGCTGGCCCAAGGGCCAGGGCAGCTGGACCCCAAATCGGCTTAGGGAGGGAACCTGGTGTTGGCCATCAGGAGAGCCTGCGTGGAGGTGTGAGGGCACGTGGCTGTCCTCTGCCGCAGAACCACCCACGCCTCCCGGGGCAGCTGCGGGTCCCACCTTTCCGTTCTGCCCTGCCAAAGGCCCCTGAAAGGTCTCGTGCCCGTGTCCTGACGGCGGGAGCCGAGTCGTGCCAACCAGCACCAGCTCCCCGGGCAATTTCCACGCAGGCATGGAGACGGGCACCTGCCAGGCCCCTGGGGGGCGGAGCGGGGCCTGCGGGGACTTGGGGCAAAGCTGATCTTTCCACTGACGGGCCCCAGGCCAGAGTGGCCCCTGAGCAGGGATAAGGTGGACAGCAGGGGCGAGAGGACAGCCTCTGGCCTCTGGCTCCGGCTCGGGCTCCATCCGGGAACAGGGGAGTTTCACTTCACGAGTTTCTGTGGTTTGGAACCAGATGAATGTCAAAGGCATATTGTAGAACCCGACCAGTGGCAATAACCTCTTGCGATATTTTACAGCTTTAGGGAAGGATAATTAAGGTATAATAAGTTACACATATTTAATGTGATGTGTCGACACCCGTAAAACCCCCATTATAATTTTATATATGGCCCTCCGGACGTCTTGTTGATAATATACATATATGCATATTTATGAACGCTCACCGACACATACCTTCTTTGAAACAAAAATAGGATCCTGCTATAAGCAATATCTCGCAACGGGCTTTGTTACCTAAATAATTTTTTATTTTTTGGCCCAGCAAGAATTAGACAGTATCAGTTCTAGTCACAAATTACTGGGGCTTAAATTTAAAATGGGAAGGAAGATAGATGTCGTAGAAACGCAAACTGCGTGGAATGCCTAAAGATCTTTCTGGGGAGGGGAAAGAGAGAAGAGAGGCTCTTTTTTTTTTTCCTGGAGAGATTACACAAATGGTAAGGCCCTTCCTTGCTTGCCTTGTACCGGGGTTCAATCCCCGGCATTCAGATGTTCCATCAAGCCCCACCCGGAGTGATCCCTGAGCACAGAACCCGGAGTAAACACCGAGCACCAGTGGGCGTGGCCCAACCCTCACAGACCCCCAAAGAGAAGCTCCTCCATGCTTCAACCTCAAAATGTGGCTTTCACGTCCCCCCCCCCCCGTTATCCGACACCCACTCAAGGCCCACCCTGCCCCCACCCTGGACCTGGGGAGCAGCTGCCTCCCCTGCCCCAATCTCCCTCCAGCCCCTGCAACCTGCAGAGACCCCAGCCCCCTCCCCAGCCCCCTCCTCTCTGTTTTCAAGGACGGGGCGCTTGAGCCACTCCTCACCCAGGGCCCTGTTCTTTTAGGACACTGACGGCCACCAGACCTGTGCCTTTCCCCGTCACCTCGACTCTTCCCCCTGGGGAACCCAGCCCACCTCCCCTCGGACCCTCCAAGTTGTACCGTGGCTCTCCCAACGGCTAATGTGGCCAGTGGGCAGCCAGCGCAAGAGGTCAGGGTGGGATCACAGGACACGGACACACACCACGACACACAGACCAGAGGACGTGCCCGTCTCCGGCCTCGGGTGGACTGGACGCTGCATCCTGGCAGGCCTGGGGGGTCCCCGGGGTGGGGAGGACCATGTGGGCGGTTTGCCGTGGCATGTCCATCAACTCCACCCACGTGACTCTACTGGGTCTTCCCGGCAGCCCCGGAGGGGGAGGATAGCTCACCGCACTGAGGACGCGAGGGCCCCTCCCCCAGGCCCCTTCCGGGAACATGGACCCTCCCTCCCACAGGGCCGAGGAGGCATTCAGACACACTGCAATGCGGCCCGGATGCAGTAGGGGGCGCGAGGGAGACCTCGGGGGTGGATGGGCTGTGGGAGAGCCCCCTGCTTCTGCCCATCCCCTGCAGTCCAACCATGGGCATCCACGGAGCCCCTGGCCTTGGTGCTGAAACAAGCAGCCCCCCCCCAGCCCCCAGCCCCCCCCAGCACAGCCCAGCGGTGGGGTGGCCATGGCGACCATCCAGCCCCCAGTGCCCACACCCAGGGACCCCTGTCCTAGACCCCTCACCACCTGGCCTCCCAACTGCCCGGCTAACACGGGCCCACAGGCCTCTGGTTCTGGATCGACCTGGGGGGGGGGGGGGTTCTTCTCTGCCTCCTCAGGTGCCGGAGGGAAGGACCTGCCCGCCCGCCCCCCGCCAGCGCCTCCCTACCCCCCCATGCTCCCAAGGGCCAGCTCTACCCCGAGAGGCTCCAGACGCTGCTCCCTCTGCCAGTGTCAGTGTCGCCCGCCCCGCCAGCTCCAGCTCAACTGAAACCCTGCAATTAGCATTAAATTATCCACAATACACCAGGAAATCTGGGTAATTAAGGGCTAAGCTGTGAGCACTTAACTGTATCCCGTGTGGGATGGGGAGGGGCAGGCAGGACCAGCGCGAGGGCACTCCCCTTCCCCGAGCCTCAGTTTCCTCATCTGTGTTATGGGGACAACCACGGGCCCAGCACAGGGGGGCAGCTCCAAGCACATGGAGGCTGGACGTGGGCTGCGCTTTCCTGCAGCCACCAGGGCTCTAAGAGGGCACCTTCCCCGCTGGTGCCCTGCTAGCACGGGGACTCCCAGGTCAGCAAAGCACCAACTGGGCTCGCCCCAACCCAGCCCAGGCCAGACACAGGAAGAGCCGCCCGGCACACCGGGCTTGTAGGGAGCAAAGCCCCCACTGCGGGGCAGCCCGCCACCTGGGCCCGACATCCCCCCTGGGCCCCCACATCCCTCCAGGTCCTCTGCATCCACCCGCGTTCCTATCCCCCGGACCCCCCATCCCCTCGGGTCCCCCCATCCCCCCTGGGCCCCCCACATCCCTCCATCCCCCTGGAGCTCCCCCATCCCCTGGGGCCCCCCATTCCCCCAGACCCTCCCACATTCCCTGGGCCCCCCATCCCCCTGGGACCCCTAACGCTGGAGGCTTGTTGGGTCCTGTGAATATTCCCATAGAATGTACCAGAGAATTTTTTTTTTTTTGACCAAAGAGCCTCTATAATTTCCGTCAGATTACCAAAGGCATCACAGTGAAAATCAAGAAGAGAGAAATGATAATAATTAAGTGGGTGAAATGCGCTGCTGGGAGCTGAATGGACGCCCAGGGCACGGCCAGGCCTGACCCGGGGCTGTCCCCGAGGCCCAGCCCCTTGCCCCGTCCATCAGCTCAACACTTCCCCGCCACCCCACCCCGCCCTTCTCCGTCCACTGCTCCCGTCGGCCCTGCTGCCTCCCCATGGCATCCTGGGGGTGCTGACCAAAGGGAAGGGGCCTCACGGGGCCCCTGTCAGCACCCTGCCCCTCCATGCATGCCTCTCCTCCCCCCCACCCCCAACACCCAGCACGCCTCGAGGTCCTGCTCCAAAGCCTCATTCCTGCCCTGGCCACCCTGCTGCACTCTGCAGCGGGGGGCAGACCAGGGAGTCCAGTGGTCAGACACTGCCTTCGCAGGCAGCTGAGCTGAGCTCAACCCCCACTGCCTGCAGGTCCTGTTCCCCCACTGACCACCGCTCCTGCTCTCCAACTGCTGGCTTAGGAGCCAGGAGCAGACACTGGGTGACCCAGCTCTGCTCTGCCCAGCACTCTCCAGGGGTGCTGTGGCACTTACACGCGGGACTGGGTCCACGCTCCACAGTACCAGCCCTCTCACGAGGCCCCTCCCAGCCCGGGAGTGACCCGTGGCCGTCGGGGGCATCTGACCATGCTGAGGGGCTAGGCGTGGGCTCCTGGGCACTGGCCACCCCACCGGCACCCCCAAGGCAACCCTGGGACCACGGGTCACAGCACCAAGAGCACCAAGCATGGGCACAGACCAACACCGGGCTTCCCCTGCCTCCTCACAGGGACACGCGGCTGCCCAGCGGAAGCCCTGCCACAGGGGCACGCCTACCCAGGGGGCAGTAAGCCACCGGAATCACTCTTCCCTCGAGGGGTTGCCTCAAGGGTCTGTCCTTGGTCTGACCCCAGGCCCAACGGTTGGATCTGGCTGCGAAAGGCTGTTCAGGACCCTCAGCCAGGCAGCGCATGGAATGCTCTGGAAGACGGAATCTGGGCTCAGCTCAGCCTGCACAGGCCAGAGGTGGAGAACAAGGCCCAGTGAGTCATACATGATCGAACAGGGATGGGGAAGGCGATAGGGAGGTTCTGGGCCACACCCAGCACTGCTTGGAGCTCACTCCGGGCTCTCTCGTGGGACCACATGGGATGCCGGGAATCAAACCCGGGTCCGCCCCATGCTAGGCAAGGGCCCGTACCGCTGTGCTCCTGCCCAGGCCCAGGGCAGTGGCCGTGCTCGGCTTCCCTCCACTGACTTCATGACTTTTGTCTTGGACCTCTTGGTGGGTGCTGGGGCCTCTAAGGGGCACCCCAGCCTCCAGAACACTCTCGAGCAGGGCAGGGCACTTTTCTGGAAAGATGAGGAAACTGGGTCCCCCTTCTCTGGCAGGACTGTCCCTGCCTTCCTAGATGGTCACCTGCCAGTCAGCTCCTGCCGTGGGGTCCAGGGTCTCAGGACATCTCCCGGGGGTGAGGGGAAGGTGTTCCACATGCTCACCTCCCACAGACTGTGCTCCAGCTCCTGGGGACCGATACACCCATTTTACAGATGAAGAAACTGAGGCACAGCGAGAGCCCTAGATTCGCCGGGCTAGCTGGAATGACGCCTCTCGTGGTTCTTTATCTGTGTTTGCCAGCACGGTGGCCGCTTGGTGGGCA